AGGTAGATGACTCGTAGATACTTGCTCTCTAAAAAACAATCAAAACTCTTTTAACACCGACACTTTCAAAAAGCTTTCAAAACAATTTTTCAAACACTCTTGAGGACTGATACAAGAGTTATTCTGAAATCTTTAAACGAAACTTTTTTAAACCCACTCACACTTGAAAAGCAAACAAACATTTTGAAAACACAAATGAGCAAGTATCTAAGAGCCCGTGGATAACCACAGATAGAAAGGGTGCTAACACCTTCCCTTTCTATAAATCTACCTCCCGAACCGAGAAACTATCTCATAAGGAATTTTGTTGTGCTTTTGTCCTGTCCATGTTGGAGAAAATAAAAGACGGTGGCGACTCTTGCTTCCGCGACATTTCGCGAACCAGCGTTAAACAGTCAGTTCTAAATCCACCGATCACAGAACTGGCGACTCTGCTGGGGACTCTTATAAAGTGAGGTGTACCTTAAGACTAAGATCACTTGTGTTTTCAATTATCTGAATTGTTTGCTTTATTATTGTGGGTACTGTCTTGGGAGTTCTATAGATCCTAACCCGGATCTGGGGGATACCTTCTTAGAAAGTAGCAACAAGGTTGTGAGGGAACTGTGTGGGGTATACCGACATGGTTGAAGCAGTCTGCTACGTTGATGTGGCACTTTGGTGAGTACCGGTAACCCTTGAGTCTAGTTAAGGAGAGTACGGGGCCGCCGCGTGGTGTCGTGAAGCATCAACTGACCTTAGGAACCTTAATTGAACCATCTTGGCCTCTTTAGGGTAGTGAGATAACTGACTTTGGTGCAGTCCGAGGTTGGTTGATACTCGATACTACGCTCAATTGAGGGTTGTTTTCTTGGAATATTTCGGTCGCCAGTTCAGTGGCTAAATCGAAACGATGAACACAGAAAGTAATCCAATGATATTGGGACCCTTAGAACCCGGTTACTTCTGATAGGACAGGTTTTGAGCCCACCAACTTCAAGAGGGTAATACCCAGACCCCATGCTAGCCTAAAACTCTAAGGGCTGTGGTGTGACTTGTGTGCCTTATCATGTTTGCTTCTTGTGAATATTTGTGGTGTGTTTTATCATAGCATCATAACATCATACAGCATCATATGCATCCACTAACCATTCAGGGGTTCGAATCTTCATCTTTGTTCTTGTTTTGTAGGACATGGAAACTATCTGCAGAAAGACAATTCAGATCAGCCTTGTAAGGACCCCTCCTCAGCTTAAGGAGCTTATCTCCAGGATTCCCGAGAGCTCTTCTTTCAGTGAGAGGCATGGAAGACTCGTCAGTTTGGTCAACACCAACATTGAAGAAGATATGATAAAGGTCCTCTTCCAGTTCTTTGACCCTCTACATCACTGCTTTACATTCCTGGATTATCAACTGGTGCCTACATTGGAAGAGTTCTCCCGGCTTCTGAAGATCCCTATCCTTAGTCAACTACCCTACAACGGTACGGAAAAAGGAACCCAAACTTGAAGAGATTGCTAGAGCCTTACGTCTACAACCATCTGACATCAAGGGACATTGGGAAGTTAGAAGTGGTATCAAAGGGTTCTTGGCCAGGTTTCTGTTTGAGAAGGCCCAAGAATGTTGGAACTCCCTTGACCTACAAGCCTTTGAAGAAGTTGTGGCCCTTCTTGTCTATGGACTGGTGTTGTTCCCGAATCCCGATCAGCTTATACACTACAAGAAAATTGGCAGATTGCGACAGGTATTTTTGTAGATTACGACGGTTAAAACCGTCGCAATTTGCTTTCCAAGACGGTTGCTTTACCGTCGCAGAAGTGTGTGTCCCCAACCTATTTCGAGACGGTTACAAAAACTGTCGTTCAAGTTTACGACGGGTTGATACCGTCGTGACTATCTTTTGAGTTTCTTTTAATTATTGATGGCGACGGTTCGATACTGTCGTGAATATCTTTTGAAATTGATTAAATTGTTTATGGCGACTGTTCGATACCGTCATGACTTTTGTTGATTATTTTTAATTGTTGATTACGACGGTTCGGTACTGTCGCCATGACTTTTGTTTATGTCTTGATTTTTTTTTTATTTTTCTATTATATATATTTTTTATTTAAATTATTATCTATGTAAAAAATTTTAAATATAGTTTTTTTTTGTGTTATTTTTTTCTTTAAATTATTTCTTCTTTAATATATTTATTTATAGTATTATTTTTTGTTTTATTTTCTATCACTTTGTAATATAGTAAAAATAATTTCAATAAAAAATATTTAACATCAAATAAGCATTATAATATCCAAAAAAATGTGTGTTCCATAATCGTGTAAAATGCGAGTTCCATAATCATTACGTTGCTATCCACCATTCTTCATGAATTTTTGAAGTCAAACGGAAGCATTACGTTGCAAGCTTTGGATCTCGTTCCACGTGAGATCGAAGGAGAAAATTCCACTATTTGGTTGAATTTCTGGAACATTGGAAGTCCGCGACATGAATTTAGTCATAGCAGTTGTATCTGCCATTAGGTCTGCTGTATTTGAGCAGAATGAAATTCCATCTTTTGTCATTTGAACCGAGCAATCTATAATGTCAGCTCCATCGTCTATTGCTTGTTGATAAGCAAGATTGGTAGAACCTGGATAAACGCCACTTGCTCCGTTATTGCTAATGATCAAAGGTTGTCCTGCAAAAAACAAACGCATTAGCATCTTTTTGCATCTTGTTTATAAGGTTCTATGACTGTTGTGAGAAGTTCAAGAATAATACTATTACCTTTTTTCGGTAGTGTATTGTTGAGTGCAAAGCATGCTGAAAAAACAAGAAATTCAGTTCCATATAGCCCAGTTATCTTCTTTTGAACTAGTCTTCTAATAAGCATAGTTTTGAATATCTCTTCACTCTCACCGCAGAAAATGTTAATAAGAAAGGTCTAGTGTTTTCAACTCATCTATAGAATTTGATGCGGTTGAAGGAAAATCAGTAACAAGACCATCAACACATTCGTCTTTCGCTATAAATTGTAGGTACTCAGCAGTAGGATCATAGTTATAATCATAGCTTGAAAAGAAATCATGCGCAAAACCAGAAGCATACACTTCCAGTCCTTGTTTATGTGCATCAGATACTAGGGTTGTGAGAGGCCCCAAGTAATTGTCTGGTTTAACTGGCCATATGTATTCTTTCGGCACTATTATGCCAGATGCATATGACTTGATTGCCGCAAGATCTTTCACAATGGTGCCATACGGTTGCATTGTTGTTGGTTCGACATCACTTGCGTTAAGAAATTGAAAGACGAACTTTGTTTTCTTCCTAACTTTCTCATTGACACTTGTTAAGAAACCGATCTCTGGAGATGAAATAAAGTCTATAGTATAAAGTCTCAACATTTCTAGTACTTTATCAACTAGCTTTACGTCGTGTTGGTCATAAAATGCTTGGTACTGCAACAGAACAATCAATTTGAAAATAAGAATTGTGTATAAAATGATTATGCGTCACGAGATAGAGATGGAGAGAACCTGAAAATTCAACCAAACCCTTGGTGGAGTTTTGCTACTTAGAATACCATCAACATTGAGTACGGGAGATAAGCCGTCGTAGAAACTTGGACGCGAAAAAATGGCCTGATTCACTGCAACATAGGATAAGAACATAAACCTCAACTTTATAATAAATAAAGAATCTCTTAGTTGAAGACTTACTCGACACATTGTGGTCAATCTGAGCAGCAGTGTAATCCACCATGAAGTGTCCTTGCACATCCTTTCCATTAATGTTGTAGGTTTTCTCATTTGGATCAAACGTTGCTATAGTTGTTGCATTGTCAAGTTTAACTCCTGTCACACAAAAGGCACCAGCATCTTTTGTAAACTGAACATTACAAAGAAAAATGCTTATCTCCTTCGACATGCCGATTGCTTCTCTACTTCCTTCTGGGAATAGACCCGTGAATCCTCTGCATGCTATTACAACTGGCTCGTTACCTACGGTAACTCATATGGTCAAGAATTAACAAAAACAAATCTTTAAATCTTCAAAATTATATTTTCAGAATTCTAGTACTTACGAGAACATGTTATTTTGAATATAAACAATAGAAAAATAAAAGAGATGAGTTTTATTATTGGTTGTTTAATTTGTTTTTACACACTACATAACAAGTTTATAGGTGAAGCCTTGTGATATCAATTAGTATAATACAGTTTCATGTAACAGACATATATGGATAAATACTTCATATCAATATGTTTACTACATTTAGCTAGGTACTTCAAGAATATTTACTTATGTTGTGTCAGTGTGCGAGTGCGACCTTAATATTGCTTTGTACTAGGATTTTAAAGTGCTTTTGCGGTCCCGTATGAATGCGATTGCAAACATTGCAATTTTGGTTATTACAATTGCTTATAAGAATAATGTATTTGTAAAGGCACACTCAAATTTAAGATAAAATTCTTATAAGATAAAATTCTTTAGTCTAACACTATTAAACAGTGATATAGTAAAGGCACACTCAAATTTAAGAATGAAATCATACCTCAAAGACGCACGAGGGTTTGAAGAGCAGCGAAGCAAGTGGAAGAGAAAAGTTACCTGCAACAAAAACCAAAGCAGCATATCAATAGTTGGTAGAAATCATAGATTTATCAAATAGAAATCTTATATTTTTCAACAGCTCATATCCCTTTAAATCCAACAAAAACATTATTATTTTCATTCTAGTGCAGAAGACACTTCATGTTTCAGATGCATGAAGGGGTGCAACTCAGTTTCTTGAGAAGAAGGGGTTCACTCAATTTACTCCTCACTTTATAACTTGGTACTGCCCTAATGATTTTCTCTTAAGCAATCAATGTAAGTCTCAGTGTATAAACAACGGCCGGTACTGTGCTCCAGACCCTCAATAACATCTATGATATAATTTAACAGAATTCCAGATTACTAGATCTATTTTGTATTATTTATAAACTGTCAATGTTTTTCAATCGACGCTACCGTCTTCCCCTCTTTTGATCAAAATGTCTCGAAGATATGATAGCCGTACAACAATATTCTCACCCGAAGGACGCCTTTATCAAGTGGAGTATGCAATGGAAGCTATTGGAAATGCTGGCACTGCAATAGGAATCTTGTCAAAAGATGGAGTTGTTCTGGTTGGCGAGAAGAAGGTGACATCCAAGCTGCTTCAAACCTCAACTTCGACTGAGAAAATGTACAAGATCGATGATCATGTTGCATGTGCTGTTGCCGGGATTATGTTCGACGCCAACATCCTAATCAATACCGCTAGGATCCAAGCACAACGTTACTCATTTGGGTACCAAGAGCCTATGCCCGTTGAGCAGTTGGTTCAATCTCTCTGTGATACTAAGCAGGGTTACACACAATTCAATTCTAAAACAGGACTAGCGTTGTGCCATTGGTGCCAACAATCAGGCAGCACAGTCAATTCTAAAATAGGACTACAAGGATGATATCACAAGGGAAGAAGCAGTTCAACTTGCACTGAAGGTACTGAGTAAAACTATGGACACCACTAGTCTTACCTCGGATACAACTAATAAAAAGAAAATTGGAATAGCACTCATTCTAAAAAATATTTGACTCTTGTATTGAGTGATTTGGAAATGAGTGGGGAATTACCCGTAGAACCTTAGTAAGAAGGGTTGACGGAATGAAAAGTAGTCCATCCAATAGTTAGTCTGAGAGTTTTTGGTTGGGACTAAATCATCCCTTCATACCCAACACGGTGAAAGGGTTGTAGGCTGCAACAATTAGGTGGCTAAGGGGAGAGTGCAACGAAGGCGAAATTTCCAACACACCCCTCTTTGGGGCCAATCCTGAAGTGTGGACGATGCAGGAAATCCAACAACATATTTATAATAGACTCTACCATCTTAGAAATTGAATTGAGTTTAACTCAACCTTTTAAAACCAGCTTGTAAGATGTAGATTGTCCCTACTTATAAACATATATTCAAGTCATCTTTCATTGTGGTAAACCATGATGTGGTATTATCTATGTATTCACTCACACCTCGTGATAAATGGTATGAAAGGGTGAAATTCCAACAGTTTGCTAAAAGTGGTTGTTTATATGAATGTCGCTAACAACAATTAACAACTCCAAGCAAAATTACACTTACACAACTCTCCCATCATTACAATCAACCACACATTCAATAATTCGCAAGTGTATAAATATTTAACTTTATCAACACTTAACCTGAAGCTCAACGATAACCTCCGCAGAGCTATTAGCTGCATTATTCTGGGATGGTACTTCATGCACGCTACCTCTCAGAGATATTGCCTGAGGACTTTCAACTGATTGTTCCAAATAGACATGGTCATCATTTAAAGCTGAATAACTACTATTTGCCCCAAGAAAAACACAAGAATCCAAGTGCTGTCCACCCTGCAAACAGATAACCAGGGAAATTAGTTTGGGCATGCATCGAAATCTTAAATTCATAGAGTAGTCAGAGAACAAAATGGATAAAGTGAGGCACTGAAACCTTAATAACAACATTTCTAAATTGCAATTTTTTCCCATTTCCAATATAGATTATAGCCTCTGAGCTAGCTGATGTAAGATTCAAACCCCGCCCATCTTTTAAATATAGAATTCCACCATCCCCATCATAAATGAAATGATCAAAATTTTCATCATCAACTATTAAAGGCTTTTGAGGTGAGAGGGAAAATTCAGCACAAGGTTACTTGTAGATAGACTGATCTATGATGATTGCATCCAACATGGAGGAATTGTGTTCTTCAAATGATAGCATACTGCTGACTGTTGGAACAAAAAACTCAACTACAGCAAGAAGAAAATCTAGTGCAACAAGTAACTGAGGTCTCTGGATACACACAGAAACAAATGTTGAATCCGAACCAAATTTCATATCAACAATGAGCATTGTTTGAACTGGTTCAAAATTATTCCCTTTACTTGAGCTACTATCAATTGACTTCTGATTTTCATAATACGACAGTGTACTTGGAGGACTGGCTCCAATGCTCTCAGGCTTTCCTATTGCTAACCGAAATCCTTGTTCAACTCCTTCCCGGTCATCAAAAACACTGAAACCTTGTAGTGTTGCAGAAAGGAATCCATTTCCTGCTGTACTGGATTTGTACAGTAGCCATGCACTGCTGACCTGCACAAGAGAAACAAGAGTAGAACAATTCAATAGTTAATTGTACTATCATCCTTCATCATTTGATTGCGGGTATGGGGCAGGTTAAAGTATTGGATAATGTAAATGCATCCATAGTTGCTTTAATCAAAATAGTATAAGTTATAACATTTGGCCTACAATTATCTTTCAACAAGTGATCCATAACCCTTAAAGCCAAATCAAGTTTACCCCTCCCACAAAGACTCCCAATGAGAATATTATAAGTAACAACATCAGGTAAAAAACCTCTCTTTTTCATTCTATCAAGCACCTTATTGGCAGCATCAACTATATCAGCTTTACAGTACCCATTTAAAAGTGCTTCATACGCAAAAACATCAGCCTGGCCGTGCTTTTCCAAAATCTCCATGACCCGAATAGCTTTCTGGGTTTTCTTAGAATTGAAAAACCATTAATCAATTTAGTGCAGAGAATGGCATCAGGTTTATAACCCCTGTCAACCATGCGCTTAAGAAAGCGGAGAGCTCGATTGTACTTAGCTGATTTGAATGACCTAATGAGAGCTTCATCGTAATCTTGATCAAGTTTTGGCCTTGTTTCATTGACCCTGATTCTTGTTCTTCGGTTGTTGGTGTTGCCTGGGGTTGAGGAAGTGACGATAGTGTTGGGATTTGAACGGCGAGAAGTGCGGTTTGGGTGGTTTCTGAAATTGAGAGTGTGTGATAAGAATTCAGTTGAAAAGGTTGTCATTGATGATGACGATGATGTTATCGGTTGTTGTTGGAAGATTTATGGCTTGAGTTTGGACAAAATTCAGTATCATAGAATGAATAAGGGACGATACATATTTTATCCTAACCAAATATTATCCTAAAAAATCATTAAAAAAAATAAAACCCTAAAACAACAAATTAGAAAACCTAACATCAGAATTTTTAAAGGTTTTGGGTGCGACGGTTGTTTTACCGTCGTGAAATGAATTTTAGGACGGATAATTTTACCGTCGTGAAAGGTTTAAGGGTGCGACGGGTGCTTTACCGTCGTGATATGCCTTTTAGGACGGTTAATTTTACCGTCGTGACTAGTTGTTGGTGAAAAATCAATGTTAAAAGTGTTAAATGGGGGTCGACGGTTGTTTTACCGTCGTAATAATAATATTATGATGGTTAAATATACCGTCGCAAAATAAATATTAGGGACGGTTGGTGTCAACTGTCGTAAACACTGTCTCTATATGTCAATTACGACAGTTATCACATAACTGTCGCAATTTTTGTGTCGTTAAACACTAATTTTCTTGTAGTGATATCAGTGCTGTCCAGATCTTCATGTCCAGGAATCCTATACCTACGTTGCTTGGGGACATCCTTCACTCATGTTACACTCGAACCATGAGAAAAAGAGGTGTTCTTATGTGCTGTACTCCTCTCCTGGGAAGGTGGTTTATTTCGCACCTTCCACAATCAGTTTTGAAGAATGAGTGGGGTTTGAGATGGTCACAACGATTAATGACTCTTACACATGCAGATATATATTGGTGCTCTCGGTCCAGAGAGGATGTCACTATCATTGATCGTTGCGGGGAGTTTCCTAATGTTCCTTTACTTGGAATCAGAGGGGGTATTACTTACAACCCGTGTCTGGCTTGGAGACAGTTTGGTTATGCTCGGAGGGATGGCCCTCATGACATGTTAATTCCTGACATAGTTTTTGACTTCGATAATGATGCACAAGGACTTCGCCAGAGATTTATCAGAGCTTGGAGGATGCCCAGCAAGGTAGACAACAAGACACTGGGGAACAGGAATTCTATCCCGTTGGAGCCTTATCTCAAGTGGGTACGAGCCCGCTCCCAGAAGTTAGTGATGCCATATCCTCATGTTCTTCCTGTGATCAAAGAGCCAATATTGGAAGGAGAGGTGTCCTACACCATTCAACATCCTGATATGCCTATATCCTGGGAAGAAATGCAGAAAAGTTGGATCCAGCTTAAGGAAGAATGGAATTCTCTTGAGTCCAGTCTACATGCTAGTGAGAAGAGGGTCTTGGAGCTCACCCGCCTACTACACGAGGAAAAGACTCTTAACACTTACATTGCTCCGAAGAGGATGCGCATCGTCTTTTAGGATTGATTTATTTTGTAATATTTTGCCCATGAGGCCTTGATGTACTGAACAATTATTCCCTAATGATAACGTGTGTTCCTTTTTGTCTACAACAAATTTGAACTTTCGAACCCTTGAATGCATTGCATAAACATATATCATGCATCATGTGCATAGCAGGTACTCTTCTTTTCAGGTTGCTTAATGTTCTTCGCTGTTTATTTCAGCATCATGAACCCTGAATCATCTACTGAGCAGTCCATCAAGGCCCTCCAGGCTCAGAACGCCCAATTCCAAGAGCTGATCATGAGTTTAGCCCAAGGTCAAGAGGAGTTGAAGGCTCTGCTGGTCAAGAAGAAGAAGAAGAGAACTGTACTGTTCAACACTGGCCGGAGGTTTGGTAACACATTGCAGAATGAGGTTGATCAAGCTGGTTCTTCTGTAGGAAAAGGCAGTCCCCAGGGGGGAAGGGTTCCTAGTCCGGTGGTCTCTGACAACGAGACTGATTTCAATGAGGAGAAGTATCCTCCCGCTGAAGACAAGTACAAGCAGTTAGAGGATCGTCTGAATGCCATGGAAATTCAACAAGTGCCTGGGTTGGATTTCGGAGACTTGGGTCTATCTTCTGGTGTGGTGATCCCACATAAGTTCAAAGCACCATCTTTCACAAATTATGACGGGGCGTCCTGCCCTAAACTACATCTCAGATCTTATGTGCGGAAGATCCAACCATACACTGTGGACAAGAACTTATGGATCCACTTCTTCCAAGAGAGTCTTTCAGGGACTCATCTCGAATGGTTCTATCAGCTGGATGGAACCAAGGTTCGTAACTGGGAGGATTTGGCTACTGCTTTTACAAGCAGTATCAGTATAATGCCGACCTCGCTCCTACACGTACCCAACTCCAGGGTATGTTGCTAGGATCAGGAGAAGGTTTTAAAGAGTATGCGCAAAAGTGGAGGGACCTGGCTAGCAGGGTGCAGCCGCCGTTAACCGACCGAGAACTAGTAGACATGTTTTTGGGTACCCTATCTGGGCCGTTCTTCAATCATCTCATTGGCAATTCATCTGCAGGGTTCATAGACCTCATTCTGACTGGGGAAAGAATAGAAGCTGGCATGAAATCAGGGAAAATTCAGAAAGGTGCGTCCTCAAGTTCTGAGAAAAAGCCTTTCAAGAAGGAAGCCAGTGCAGTGTATGGGCCTAGAAGGCAAAATAAAC